ATCGTACCACACAAGTCTTGTACATGACCATTCAGCACATAGTTATAGGCATCTAAAGATTTACATGCCCTCCGTTTCTCTATCAGGTGTAGATGTCAGGCCACTCAACCGGAGGTAGCGTTAACGTTAATCCTGTCAGATCCTCAATGAGTGTACGGGTCGGCCAATCTGGTTCCGTCCGTTAAAATTAACTTTTGCAAATAACAATCGTGGTCCTGGACAGTGAGTGGCCTTGCACATTAAGATAAAATCGGATTTTCTCCAGTCATTGTTAAAAACAAGCTAACAAAACTTGCAGACTTTACGGTAGTGAAGCGGCCAGAGAGATCGTTCTGCCACCACTTAAGCTCCGCCCACATAAAAACCTCACCATGTTTACCAACTGAAAATTGGTCTATATTTACATATAATCATAATATAGATCAGTGGTTATGATTAGAAATCGGCCATCGTTGCTCATAGCCAATCATCTGAGTTGTAAATGTCATGTGACTGGCTCACTCTGGAGCAGTCTTGTAGTGTAATTGCCACTGTGTTTATGATAGTTTATGATTTTTGTTGTGTTATTCGCGCAGATGAACGCCAAACCCCGCAGTTTTAGAGGGAAACCGCAGGGGCTCCGAAGCTCCGCCCACTGGGGCCGCTCACATGTGACCAGTGACGTCCAATCAGAACACGGCTGGTCTCCGGCGCGCACCCGGCGCAACAGCGACGCTGCGTCTGAGATGTCGTTTGCGTGGTAGACTTACACTCGTCTCGTTATTACTCTTCGTTTACGATCATCTGTACTGTTCCAGCCTAGAAAAATAGAGTCCAGGAGGTTTGGAGTGACATGACGACAGAATGATCATTTTTGAGCGAACTGTCCCTTTAAATTGTGTAAAGGCTCGTTCATAATGATAACAATAAAGATATAGTTCTAAACATCATTATAAATATAAAGGATTAGCAGAGTCCACACCAGAACTAGTGATAACGAAATCGCTGAAATCACTTTTAGATCCAGCTGATGAACCATAAAAACATCGGCAGCCAATCAGAAGAGCGCACACATTTTAAGCGTAAACAGCTAAATCAGAACGATATCATTACCTTTATAGTTATCCTTCTCTGTGTGAACGAGCCTTTAATATTATCATTCTTATATTCACAAACTTTTATGTAATGACATAAATCTGCCATAATAAAAACAATGTTACAAACGTTATTGCTGTATTGATGATGATGATGATGATGCACATATTTTAAATACTAAACACCAAGTATTTTCATACCACTCTCAAAGGTGCTTCAATATTTTATGTTTTAATATTCATTCTTTACTGGCATAAATGTCCAGCATCATGTTTGTTTTATCTGTATTTTTCCCGCTCTCCGTCTAATGACGTAAGAGGAAAACGAACGGTTTCTGCGGTTAAAATACAGTTTATTTACGAGACAAAAATACTAAACATTAAGAAAACACACAAATACTGTCTGTGTCTGGTCAAACTCAAACATGTTTTACAATTTATAAACTTAGATTTAATATTTACACAATTGTTCATTATTATTAACTATATTATGTTTTCCTTATCTTTCCAGTTTTAGATTATTTGTACATTTAATTTTACGTGGAAGTTCTCGGAGACGTGATCGCGATCATTCCGACAGTCATCACGTACCAGTTACTCTTCATCTTAACTTCGAGTTAAAAAAAACATTATAATAAGTAGGCTATACTATCAAGAAAACATTATTATTTTGTATTGTTACATTAACAATTTGTAATAATTTTTCTGTTTATCCAGAAGAAGTAGGGGTGAATTAAGGGTGATGTATAACTATACGGAGTTTATTTTCTCACCTAATGGGTAATAAAATAAAAAACTGTTTTTTGCTCAGCTCTAGCGGTCAAAATCCGATGCCGTTATTGGTGGGACATCCTGTAGGTGGGCGGGGCCTCATGTAAGTGGGCGGGGCATCAAACAGGAAGTTGACCCTGAAATACATGAACGGAGGAAAATTACATTATTGCTGATTTCATAATAAGGTCCTAAAATTGTCGTAGCTATACTATATTGTACAACCTTTTGATGGAAACACGATGATGCACTACTGATACAAAATCAGTAGAAAATGCGTTAATATTATGTTCCTATTTTTATTTTGTCCCATTCACCCACACAAAAATTATGGTTATGGTTATAACATGTTTATGGGTGATTGGAACAGTGCGTAAAGGCTTTACTAATTCAGAAAATGATTATCCTCGGACAGAGAACCGTTGTGTTTGCTCTGGTGGTTCCCGCCTCTCTCTCTCTCTCTCTCTCTGTGTGTGTGTGTGTGTGTGTGTGTGCCCTAATCAACCACAAACACATTCATGAACTAGCTAATTTTGCTCAAATAAAACGAGCAAATTCTGAAGATTTGGATCAGTTTACCGAATTTCTTTTGTAAGAATTTTGGGTCCTGAAGCATTTTTTTTTTTTTTATTGTTTACTTGATTTTAAAATGTTTTCAGTGACTTTTGGCCTTCTTTACCTCAATTACATGTGTTGTACTGTATGAATTATGGGTGTGGGTGTGTGTTAAACAGAAATAAACATGACTCTAAATAATGAACAGGAAAGGAGTGTGTGTGTGTGTAACACTAGAGGGCAGGAGAATCAGTGAAATCCTCTCATCTCTGAGCGGATAATATGAATGCGAATATGATAATGTGTGTGTGTGTGTGTGTGTGTGTGTGTGTGTGATCTGTTCCTCTTCATGAATGGCTCTGGCTCAGCTCCAGCACTCTCGAGGTTAATGTCCTCTTCTCGTCTGTCTAATGAAGTGTTTTCCTCTTCTTCTCACATCGAGAGCATCTGGAGATCATGGAGCTTCACTGACAGATGCGACAGCACTTCACTTCCTCATCTACACTGTACTCATTATATTAATTATAATAACTAGGTAGTAATTAACCCTGAAGCTAACCTTAACGCATGTGTTTACAATATGTGGTTCAACACGATGATGGGAGAATTTTCATTTTTGGGTGAACTGTCCCTTTAAATCACACTTACAAATGTCTGAATGCCTCGTGTAGCCTACTGTAAAAAAGACGCATTTGTCAACAGAAGTGCTAAAAGATGAAGACAGACATGTGTGATGTTGTTAATGTGAGTTTATACATCAGCGAACCTGACTCAAACATTGATCTGAGGCTCTGAGGCTCGCTGTTCGGGAATCACAACAAGATGAACAAGAGTGGCTCATGAAAGAGGCATTCATTTATAGTAAAAGTACAAATATGTACAGAACAAATCAAAGGCAGCTGATCCCTCAAATATTGCATGTGTCATTACAGTACTTTAGTTGGTATCCCAGAAAATAATGATTCGAAACATTCATGCATGCTTGAAACAGATCCGGGTCACATTCATCATGTTCATATCGCAGAAGATAACCATTCAATGCGCGAGAAATTACAACAACAAATGTGTCTTTTGACTTTGGATGTTCTTCTTTTTTTCTTTCACAATGCTGTGGATGCTTTCAAAGTAAAAACAGAAAATAAAAAATAAATTTGAAATAAAATTGTAAATAGCCTACTATAGACATTTAAAAAAATACAAAAAATGACAAAACACTGAAAATTTAAATTCAAAATGAAAACAGAAAATTAAAAAAATACATCTGAAATAAAAAAATAATAAAAACTATATAGACATTCAAAAAAACTACAAAAAATGACTAAACTTTTAACTAAAATAAAAATAAAAGCAGAAAATATAAAAATAAAAACTGAATCTGAATTAAATATTTATAGACTATTTAGACATTTTAAAAACCTACTAAAAAACAAGAAAATGACTGAAATTAACTCAAAATGAATCTCAAGATTAAAAAAACTTAATCATATTTTTTAAAAACTACTAAAATTAGAAAAAACAAGAATGTAATGAAAATACAAGCAGAATACATCTAAACCTGAAATAAAAATTAATACAAACTATATACCGTAGCCTATTAAAAACTATTACAGTAGGCTACTTTAATTGCTATTGGAGAAAATAATGATTCGAAACATTCATGCAGAGATCCGGATCACATTCATGTTCATATCGCACAGAAAATAATGCATGAGGAATTACAACAAAAACACGTTCTTTCACAATGCTGTGGATGTGTTTAACACAAGCCAAAACTCAAGCCAGACAACAGGACAAACACTTCTCCTCCGCTCCGAGCAACTTCCCCCGAGACCATCGCTTCTGCAGAACGAAGAATAAGAAGTGGAAATGAGAGTGAGATCAGCCTGGTCTCACACACACACACACACACACACACACACACACACACACACACACACAGACAGACAGACAGACAGAAACACACACACACACACACACACACACACACACACACACACACACACACACACACACAGACACAGACACACACACACAGACACACAGACACAGACACACACACACACACAGACACAGACACACAGACACAGACACACACACACACAGACACACACACACACACAGACACACACACACACACACACACACACACACACAGACACACACACACACACACACACACACACACACACACACACAAAACCCTGGACCTCAAAACCAGTCACAAGGGTCCATTTTTTTAAATTGAGATGTATACATCATCTGAAAGCTGAATAAATAAGCTTTCCATGGATGTGTGGTGTGTTAGGACAATATTGGGCTGAGATACGACTCTGGAATCCGAGGGTGCAAACAAACCGAAACATTGAGGAATCTCCTTTAAAGTTGTGCATTTATGTTCGATTTGTGCTGCATTCACTCACACAAATATATTGTTTATATATTTACGGTAGGAAACGTACAAAATATCTTCATGGAACATGATCTTTACTTAATATCCTAGTGATTTTGAGCATAAAATGGATAATTTTGACCCATACAATATAAAGTTGGCTATTGCCACAGATCCACCCGTGCGACTCGAGACTGGGTTTGTGGTCCAGGGTCACACATGCACCAGTGCGTCCCGCTATCCGGCCGAGGCCCAGCTGAAGGTGCCGATGGACAGCAGCGTCTGACAGGCGCTGGACGGGACCCACACCGTCTCCATCAGCCCGGAGTGCAGGAAGCCCAGAGCGAAGCCGCAGGACACGTCACTCAGGTGGTTCTGGCCCAGCAGGACCCGCGACAGGCCCGAGAGCCCGGCCCACAGCACCAGCAGGACCCGCAGCGGCACGGCCAGGTCCAGGTGCGACAGCAGGAACCGGGACACCAGCGCCGCTCGGCTCGCCTGACCCGCCGGGAACGAGTCGGGACTCGAGTGCCATGGGCCTCTACGCCGGACCAGCTTCTGCACGCCGGCCACGGTCAGCAGGTCCAGCAGCAGCGCTGCCGAACACAGAACACACTCCACGTGACACACAGCAGAACCACTTCAAATTACAGAAAAAAAAAAAAAAAAACAAAAAAAATCTGAAATAAAAATGTAACTATAGACATTAAAAAAACTACTCAAAATGACACAAACACAACACAATATTACTAAAAAACTATAGACATTTCATGACAAATGACAAAAACACACAAGAAAATTACAAAAATGTTAACAAAAAAATACAAAAACAAAAAAATAAATCTGAAATAAAAATTTAAAGAACTACTAAAAATTATAAAAACATAAGAAAATGACTAAAACTTTAACTTAAATGAAAATAAAAGTAGAAAATGCAAAAAAAACTAAATCTGCCAAAAAATTACACAGACATTAAAAAAACTACTAAAAATTACAAAAACACACAACAAAATGACTAAAACTTGAACTAATAGTAAAGTAAAAACAGAACATGCATAAATCTGAAGTAAATCTGAAATAAAAATGTAACTATAGACATAAAAAACTACTCAAAATGACAAAAACAACAAAATTACTACAATTTTAACTAAAATGAAAATAAAACAGAAAATGGAATTAATTAAACTAGACATTTAAAGAACTACTAATTACAAAAAAACATAAAAGATACTAAAACTTTAACAAATGAAATTAACTACTAAAAATGACAAAACACACAACAAAATTACTAAAACTTTACTAATTACAAATGAAAAAAGCTTATATATTGACTTTTTCTTAAAAACTTCTAAAAATTACACCAATGAACAACAAAATTATTGAAACTTTACAATGAAAATAAAAACCAAATCTGACATTAATAAAATATACAGACTAAAAATGACAAAAACACACTTTACACAAATTAACAAGAATCTAACAAAAAAAATTAATAAAATGCAACATTAAAACTAAATTTAAAATATATATACAAATTATAGACATAAAAAAGCAATAAAAAAATGACAAAAACAACAAAATTACTAAAACTTTGAAATGAGAATAAAAACTAAATCTGAATATATATATATATATATATATATATATATAAAAATTATAGAAATTAAAAAAAGACAAAAACAACAAAATAACTAAAACTTTGAAATGAGAATAAAAACTTAATCTGAATAAATATATATATAAAAATTATAGACATTAAAAAAAACAATAAAAAATAACAAAAAAAAACAAAATTCCTAAAACTTTAAAATGAGAATAAAAACTAAATCTGAATATATATATATATATATAAAATTATAGACATAAAAAACAATAAAAAATGACAAAAACAACAAAATTACTAAAACTTTAAAATGAGAATAAACACTAAATCTGAAAAAAACATTAAAAAATTCTAGACATAAAAAACAAAAAATTTTTACAAAAATAACAAAATTACTAAAACTTTAAAACGAGAATAAAAACTAAATCTGAATAAATATATATACCGGTATATAAAAAGTATAGACATTAAAAAAAGACAAAAACAACAAAATTACTAAAACTTTAAAATGAGAATAAAAACTTAATCTGAATAAATATATATATAAAAATTATAGACATTAAAAAAACAATAAAAAACAAAAAAAACAAAACAAAATTACTAAAACTTTAAAATGAGAATAAAAACTAAATCTGAATATATATATATATATATATAAAATTATAGACATAAAAAACAATAAAAAATGACAAAAACAACAAAATTACTAAAACTTTAAAATGAGAATAAACACTAAATCTGAAAAAAAACATTAAAAAATTATAGACATAAAAAACAAAAAAAAATTACAAAAATAACAAAATTACTAAAACTTTAAAACGAGAATAAAAACTAAATCTGAATAAATATATATACCGGTATATAAAAAGTATAGACATTAAAAAAAGACAAAAACAACAAAATTACTAAAACTTTAAAATGAGAATAAAAACTAAATATGAATATATATATATATATATATATATATATATATATATATATATATATATATATATATATATATATAAATTATAGACATTAAAAAAACAATAAAAAAATAACAAAAAAACAAAATTACTAAAACTTTATAATGAGAATAAAAACTAAATCTGAATATATATATATATATAATTATCAGAGGTGGAAGTAACGAATTACAACTACTCACGTTACTGTAATTAAGTAGTTTTTTCGTGTACTTGTACTTTCATGAGTATATTTTTAAGTCTGTAATTTTCCTTGTACTTAAGTACAAATTAAGTTAAGTAATGTACTTCGCTACTTTAAAAATCACATTCGTTACTAAGTACTTGTACAATTTGAATTAAATTAATTTTCAAATCTTTGACCAGCATTTGGGTATCCAATAGAAATAACTGATCGTGGGCGGGCCAATAAAAACCCTTGTATTTGGACCGGGGAAAAAGCCCGGTTTCTGGAGAGCTATTCGTCCTCGCACGTCCTTCACTGTGAAGGTGTATTTTAGTGTTATCAAAGAACTTTGGCGTTATGGACATGGAGATTCGAAACGCTGAATTCATTGAAAATTCCGAAGAAATACCGGATGACGAGTGCCCTTGGCCGCACAAATGCAATGCAAACTTTGTTTGCCATCCGCAGTGATTTCGGCTTAAAAGACTTCAGCCTCTAATCTCAAAAAACACATTATGGTACGAAGACTTATAACTATATTTATGTGATAGTTGTTTTCGTTTTTCATGTTGGGTAGACCTCACGATAATTTGACTAAAAATATCACTTGAAACATGAGCTTCAGCGAGCACATAGAGCGTAAAAAAAATATTTAGCATTGTAAAGTGGCTTTATGTCATTGTCAACAAATTGTTTTATTCATATTGAATCTGTGTTTTAAACTTATAATAAACGGTCTAATAATGACTCTTTCATAAAAACAGTTTCTTGCCGCGACCCACTGGCGTAACAGTGTAACTGCACTGATTGACAGCCTGTCTAGATTGCGCATGTGTCAGTAAATGCTGATAACTTTTGAAATATTAGTAGGGTACTTTTGGAAAGCTTTCTTGTCCAGTCAGATTTTTTTAAATGTAAAAAAATTAAAATATATATGTTTATAAATAAAATAACCCAACAAGCTCATTTATGTTGCATTATAATTCATTAATAATAATATTAGACCATTTTTATAACTTGATTCCCATAAAAATTATATGAAGAAATAATATGAAATAATATATAATTTCCTTTATATACTTCCTCTGTTATATTTTCAGTTGTTGGTTTGCAGTGAAAAGTTTATACTGTTTATACATGTTTAAAATTAATTTAACATTCTTTAAACAGACAAAATTCCTGTACTACATGTTTACTCGTATAAAACACAAATTGCCTGTGTTTAAACCATTCATATTTCTGATTTGATTCAATGGATTTGATGTTTATTCAATAAATATCACAGGCTAAAAAGTAATTAGTACTTGAGTAGTTTTTGAGAGGGGTACTTTGTACTTTTACTTACGTACATTTTTAACACCAGTACTTTTACTTGTAATTGAGTATTTTTTTAGCAACTACTTGTACTTGTACTCGAGTACAAATTTTCAGTACTCTTTCCACCTCTGATAATTATAGACATTAAAAAAACAATAAATTTTTTTTTTTTAAATTACTACAACTTTATAATGAGAATAAAAACTAAATTTGAATATATATATATATATATATATATATATATATATATAATTATAGACATAAAAAAACAATAAAAAATAACAAAAAAACAAAATTACTAAAACTTTATAATGAGAATAAAACCTAAATCTGAACCGAATAAACCAGGCATTAAACCAGCGCAGAGAGCGTCGGCCTGTAAGCAGAGGTGCGGTACCGATGAGCAGGTTGACGAGCAGCTCCTGTCCCGCCGGCGAGTGGCTCTGGCTCAGACACACCAGGGTCCCGCAGACCCATGTGACCCCGTGACCCGTCAGCGCCAGCAGGGTGACCCCCGAGCGCACACTGGCCCACGGGGACCCGGCCTGGACACACACACTCATGCGCTTGGACAGGCAGATGTCGACGGCGAGCAGCGAGCTCACGGCGATTCCTCTGAGCGACGGGTTGAGGAGCATACAGTCTTCATCCGGCGGCGTGTGTGTGTGTGTGTTCTCGCTCGCCTGGTTCTGCTGGCTCCTGCACGGCCCGGATCTTCTCCACGCTCTGCTGTGGTTCCGCGGAGGCGAGCTCAGGGACAGAAACTCGGGTCGACCCAGAACGCTAGTGCTAATGCCGCGATCCTTAGCTCTGGAGCGGCTCGGGTTCGAAGGCATGGCGCGAGCTAACGAGCTAATGAGCTAACGAGCTTCAGGTGTGGGTTCTGGAACACATGTGTAAACGAGGAAAGAGAATTACTGAACACTAACAAAACTATCACCATAATCAGCATCATTTAGCCTTATAAATGGATAGTTGACGACAAATAGCCATGAACTTTTGTTTTGTTTTGCAGCATCAAGATTTTAGGTGACCAGTTACAGCATTAGATAATTATGTCACAGTTTTGATTTCATTGTAACTGGCCTTGCGATATGAAAATGATTTGATATCATATAATGATTGAAATGGTTGAGTGAATGTTTCAATGACTCACTCTCAGTCACTCGTCGCCTCCTACTGGTGCAACACTGAAACCTGCAGAAAGAGCCACTGAAAATGAAGAAAATGATTTATTTCATTATTTCAATGATTTTATTTCAACTTTTATTCTTATATTTATAAATTAGTATGTCATAATTTCAAAAAATTACACACAGATACATGTTTACACACATTGTTTTTGTTTTAAGTCACTGTAAAAAATGCAGAAGATTAAGAAGATTATTGGCATATGTTTTACAAGAAAATAGCATTTCAGGGTTTCTACTTAAAACTTTCACTTTTCTTATTTGTCTTGTAATTATTTGTGACTGTTTAACCTAACCCTAACCAGCATTTTTAGCATTTTAAACATACATAGCCTACAATTTGTCCCCAAAATATGGTTTAGTAGGAACACAGTCTCAGTCCTAATGGAGCATTAATGCTTATGGCTGAACTTTGCTGTCCAAATGCCGAAAATGTCAGAGAAAAAATGAGCGTCCTTCATAAAAACAATAAACGAGAACAATTACTACAAGCATCCATCTCGTTTTAATATTCCTAAACCACTGGCCTACCTCAGATCAGGTCTATTATGATCCCGCTCACATTCGCATCAATTCACACGCTCAGAAACGTCAAACATCTTTACATTTATAATAAACATATCTGTATTTGTAAAAGCGCTGCTTTAGCATCACGGTCCGCCTCACATCAACACCACAAATACTACTATGGTGAAGCTGTGTTTTTAATCAATATTAATTAGCCACGCCCACTAGCCATGCTGATTGGCTGCAAGGCAGACAGCTGACGAATGAAGATTCACCTCATGAACATAAGCTGCCGTGACGTCACGTGGTTTAATGCATATTAATGAGCTCTGTCTTCACCGTAGTAGGAATCGCAAATCCCACAGCATCTTTGTCTGAGGTTGGCGTTCTCCAAGGTGCTTAAACGGGGACCATCGATCCGTTTTTATTATCTTTTACACACGAATCGCTTGATATTTAAAATATGTGTTTTAAAATATATCCAGGTCATTGCGCTATTTACATCTGAAGCATTTTTCACTTTTGTATGCTGTCTGAGAGCCTGAAATCCCTTTAGAATATACAAAAATAGACCAAATTTAGCTCAGCAAACTTCACGAGCGTTTTTCGTCTGTTTTGACAAATTTTATCTTTCAAATTTGATGTGCTCAAGCTCAACACATCCACTCTGTTAAGAGAAATATGAAAAAAAAGTTAGAAAAATCATATTTTTTAAATTACAGTTGCAATGCAATTCTTTATTTGATAAACTTTCTGTTAGCTTCTTTTTTCTCAGATTTTAGCTCAGAATATCCTTCTGTTAGTGTCCACTCTGACAATCACTATACACTCTCAGTGTCTACTCTGTTAGCTCTTCTGATTTAACAAAGTAATTTATGCTTAAAGTGGAAGAAGAAGAGTATTTAAAGTTCTTTGGTAATGTTTTATATTTTGTTTTCTATCAAAATCCAGTTCAAACAGTAACTGGTTGTATGTGAGAGATAAAGAACCATCAATCCATTATTTATACCACTCGTCCACCCTGTTTTTTACTTAGTCCACTCTATTATTACTAATTCCACTCTGTTATTACTTAGTCCACCCTGTTATTACTTAGTCCACCCTGTTATTACTTATTCCACTCTGTTATTACTTAGTCCACCCTGTTATTACTTATTCCACTCTGTTATTACTTAGTCCACTCTGTTATTACTTAGTCCACCCTGTTATTACTTATTCCACTGTTATTACTTAGTCCACCCTGTTATTACTTAGTCCACTCTGTTATTACTTATTCCACTCTGTTATTACTTAGTCCACCCTGTTATTACTTATTCCACTCTGTTATTACTTAGTCCACTCTGTTATTACTTAGTCCACCCTGTTATTACTTAGTCCACCCTGTTATTACTTATTCCACTCTGTTATTACTTAGTCCACTCTGTTATTACTTATTCCACCCTGTTATTACTTAGTCCACCCTGTTATTACTTATTCCACCCTTATTATTACTTAGTCCACCCTGTTATTACTTATTCCATCCTGTTATTACTTATTCCACTCTGTTATTACTTAGTCCACCCTGTTATTACTTAGTCCACCCTATCATTACTTAGTCCACTCTGTTATTACTTAGTCCACTGTGTTATTACTTAGTCCACTCTGTTATTACTTAGTCCACTGTGTTATTACTTAGTCCACTCTGTTATTACTTAGTTCACCCTATCATTACTTAGTCCACTCTGTTATTACTTAGTCCACTGTGTTATTACTTAGTCCACTCTGTTATTACTTAGTCCACTGTGTTATTACTTAGTCCACTCTGTTATTACTTAGTCCACTCTGTTATTACTTAGTCCACTGTGTTATTACTTAGTCCACTCTGTTATTACTTAGTTCACCCTATCATTACTTAGTCCACTCTGTTATTACTTAGTCCACTCTATTATTACTTAGTCCACTCTGTTATTACTTCGTCCACCCTATCATTACTTAGTCCACTCTGTTATTACTTATTCCACTCTATTATTACTTAGTCCACCCTGTTATTACTTAGTCCACTCTGTTATTACTTAGTCCACTCTGTTATTACTTAGTCCACCCTGTTATTACTTAGTCCACTCTGTTATTACTTAGTCCACTCTGTTATTACTTAGTCCACTCTGTTATTACTTAGTCCACTCTGTTATTACTTAGTCCACCCTGTTATTACTTATTCCATCCTGTTATTACTTATTCCACTGTTATTACTTAGTCCACCCTGTTATTACTTAGTCCACTCTGTTATTACTTAGTCCACTCTGTTATTACTTAGTCCACTCTATTATTACTTAGTCCACTCTGTTATTACTTAGTCCACTGTGTTATTACTTAGTCCACTCTGTTATTACTTAGTCCACTGTGTTATTACTTAGTCCACTCTGTTATTACTTAGTTCACCCTATCATTACTTAGTCCACTCTGTTATTACTTAGTCCACTCTATTATTACTTAGTCCACTCTGTTATTACTTCGTCCACCCTATCATTACTTAGTCCACTCTGTTATTACTTATTCCACTCTATTATTACTTAGTCCACCCTGTTATTACTTAGTCCACTCTGTTATTACTTAGTCCACTCTGTTATTACTTAGTCCACCCTGTTATTACTTAGTCCACTCTGTTATTACTTAGTCCACTCTGTTATTACTTAGTCCACTCTGTTATTACTTAGTCCACCCTGTTATTACTTATTCCATCCTGTTATTACTTATTCCACTGTTATTACTTAGTCCACTCTGTTATTACTTAGTCCACTCTGTTATTACTTAGTCCACTCTATTATTACTTAGTCCACTCTGTTATTACTTAGTCCACCCTATCATTACTTAGTCCACTCTGTTATTACTTAGTCCACTCTGTTATTACTTAGTCCACCCTGTTATTACTTAGTTCACCCTATCATTACTTAGTCCACTCTGTTATTACTTAGTCCACTCTATTATTACTTAGTCCCCTCTGTTATTACTTAGTCCACTCTGTTATTACTTCGTCCACCCTATCATTACTTAGTCCACTCTGTTATTACTTATTCCACTCTGTTATTACTTAGTCCACCCTGTTATTACTTAGTCCACTCTGTTATTACTTAGTCCACTCTGTTATTACTTAGTCCACCCTGTTATTACTTAGTCCACTCTGTTATTACTTAGTCCACTCTGTTATTACTTAGTCCACTCTGTTATTACTTATTCCACCCTGTTATTACTTATTCCATCCTGTTATTACTTATTCCACCCTGTTATTACTTAGTCCACCCTGTTATTACTTAGTCCACTCTGTTATTACTTAGTCCACCCTGTTATTACTTAGTCCACTCTGTTATTACTTAGTCCACTCTGTTATTACTTAGTCCACTCTGTTATTACTTAGTCCACTCTGTTATTACTTAGTCCACCCTGTTATTACTTATTCCATCCTGTTATTACTTATTCCACTGTTATTACTTCGTCCACCCTATCATTACTTAGTCCACTCTGTTATTACTTATTCCACTCTATTATTACTTAGTCCACCCTGTTATTACTTAGTCCACTCTGTTATTACTTAGTCCACTCTGTTATTACTTAGTCCACCCTGTTATTACTTAGTCCACTCTGTTATTACTTAGTCCACTCTGTTATTACTTAGTCCACTCTGTTATTACTTAGTCCACTCTGTTATTACTTAGTCCACCCTGTTATTACTTATTCCACTCTGTTATTACTTAGTCCACTCTGTTATTACTTAGTCCACTCTGTTATTACTTAGTCCACCCTGTTATTACTTATTCCATCCTGTTATTACTTATTCCACTGTTATTACTTAGTCCACCCTGTTATTACTTAGTCCACTCTGTTATTACTTAGTCCACTCTGTTATTACTTAGTCCACTCTATTATTACTTAGTCCACTCTGTTATTACTTAGTCCACTGTGTTATTACTTAGTCCACTCTGTTATTACTTAGTCCACTGTGTTATTACTTAGTCCACTCTGTTATTACTTAGTTCACCCTATCATTACTTAGTCCACTCTGTTATTACTTAGTCCACTCTATTATTACTTAGTCCACTCTGTTATTACTTCGTCCACCCTATCATTACTTAGTCCACTCTGTTATTACTTATTCCACTCTATTATTACTTAGTCCACCCTGTTATTACTTAG